AAGAAAAAAAAAAGATTAAAAACAGGATTAACTTTTCAGTTTTCACCTCCAAAATCTTAACGATGGAGGAAATGAAGAAGATGAAAGCAAACCAAAAATAAAAAAATAAAAATAAGAAAAGTAACTTCTTTTTAAATAAAAAAGTAGATATTTGTTCAACTTGCAAACTCATAATGAGTCATCCGATAATATTAAAATTAAGTGTCAATGTTGTATAAATCTCAAAAGTAATTTATTAATTAATACTTTTTTGGCAACTATTTTTTTTATCATTTATTTTTTATTTTTTCAGGAATAACTCGCAGTTAACCCTTGTAGAAGCTGAAGAGTCCCAGTCCCACGCTCCGATTTCGTTTCGCCAAGTCGCATGAATGTTGAAACATCTCTCTCTCCAAACGACATGTCGCTTTCCAACATTAATCAAAATTTTAAATTTAGATATGGGTTAAAATGTCGAGGTAAATATTTGACTTCGATAATTTTTTTTAATTTTAAAAGATAAAAAAATTATAGAAAATATTTAAATAACCAAACGAGTATTTAAATCTTTTTAAATAAATAAAAAATTCTTATTGTTAATATTATTTATATGTTAATTATATTTTGTTGAATTTTTTTCTTTTATTTTGTCAATTTTTTTCAATACTATGAAAATATCGATTTATCTTTAATATCAATGGTGAAACTATGAACCTATAGAGATGTAGACTTGTAGGTGGAAATTTAATACTCATATTTCTAATCTTCTCATGTGGCTGTTTTTACGAGTTATATGGTTGATTTTAACTGATAGGCTGATCAATCCAACCGAACTCATGACCTATTGGTCAGAGATAGGTGTCTTAACCATTTGAGCTATGCTCGATTTGGCATCAATCCAACCATATTGACTATGTATATATAAAGATATAAATAAATAACTAAAACTCTACCGTCTTAGCTTAACAAGAAGAAAAATGTGGTGTTTGTTAGAAGTAACTCTAAATCAGTGATTATGAATGGACTAGTATATCAAGTGCTTGAAGGTAAGTTGTAGCATGTAGAAAAATGTTAGAAAGGCAAAATTGAAAGATCCATGTTTGGACTACGAGAGAGAGAAAATGAAGTATGTTGACCACTTGCTTGGTGCAAGACTTTGTATTTGTTAAGATATTTTAAATTGYTTAAACTTTTACGTTCATAGAGAGAATTTATGAAATAAGGGACAAGAAGTGATATGGGATGCCACTCTTATATCAAGAGTAGCAACGTTGCTACTCGTCCAACTCACTCAGTTTGTGGGGAGGAAGTATTAAGAAATCTAGATTGAAGAATTATGAGTAAAATTTTAATAATTAATTAGAATGTAAACTAGTAGATAAACTACATATTACCACGATGAGCTAAAGAATGATGAAATTTTATAGAATCATATGTTTTTTTATTTTACAAAACTCCATGATTGTTCAACGAAATGACCTTTAGACATGATGGTATGACCGTGATTATGACTTTGTAATCATCCGTTTAATTTTCACCAATTTTATTGCTGGAAGAAAGAAATAAAATTTAGCTATTTAATAGAGGACATTTTACTTTCTAATTCTATTATATATTCATTATTTGATTTTTCTATAGATGTAGAGGTTTAAAATAAAGAGATATCATAAGAAAAAAAAAGACATAAATGTTTGTGAATTTACTATTTTGTGATTTTAAAAATAAAAAATAAACGGTTTATCAATAATTCTATTAATAAGAATAAGATTTAAGTGGCCACTCAAAAAAAAAAAAGAAAGAAAGAAAGTGGCCAATCAGGAGACGAGTAGACTTTAAAATACTATTAAATGTTTTTTAAATAAGAAAATAAATTATTTTATAATACTTTTTCTTCTGTTTACATTATTTTACAATACTTAAACATCAACAAAGAAAAAATAAATAAAAGTGTTTTATTTTAACTAATTAAAGTTAGTATATTAAAAAAACATATCCCAGACGTAACTTTACCTCCAAAAGTGGTTGTAAATTTTTTTTAATTTTTATTTTTTTTTAAACATTTATTTTAAAAAGTTGCAGAACAAGTGCACTACACGGGAACCAGGTTGCGTAAGAGCTAACGTAAATGGCTGAGGTTTTGAGTCCAAAATTTGATAATAAATACTTTTTACAGATTAAATCATTATGTATATAAGAAATTAAATAAAATTTTTACAATAGRACTAAATAATTACCAACTTTAAATTATAATGAYTAAATTATTTAAAGTTTAAGAACTAAAATTATCGTCAATATGAAAATGTGGAGACTAATCGTTACTTCAATAAAAGTACATGAACTAAAAGTACGGAAGTTCATAGGTGGGGTCGAGATGGGGAAGGTTTYCCTAACCCCATCCTCGCCTCCCATTTAATTCCTGATCCCCGCGAAATTTCAGGGGTGGGGATTCCCCGCGGGGAGTTCATGGGGATCAGGTTCTCCGCTAGGGATTTTCCCTATTTCTTTTTTTATGTTTTAAATTATGTGTCAATAAATATTTTTTTTCTTAAAGAAAATCTATTTAGTTGTTTAATTTATAAGGTCTAATTCTCTCAAATATATATATTAGATGAGTGGGTAGGGAACAATACATCATTTTTTTACATATATATTTAAAGAGAATAATATAATTATTTTAATGTGTATATGTATATATAAATATTTAAAACAAACGATGCAGGGCAAGGAATGGGGATGGGGATGGGGAACATATTCTCCGTCTCCGTCCCCATTTAGGTGGTGAGGAAAATTTTTCATCCATCCCCGTCCCGTGGAGAATTTAAATGGAGATTTCCTCTTCCATTTAGACGGGTCCCGTGGAGATGARAAAATAACATCCCTAACTAAAAGGTTTTCCTAAATCATTATAAATTTTGTAAATTAAAACTAACTTTAGAAATTATAAAATATAAAACAACTCATGATTTGGCCAACAAATATAGCAAAATTAATAATAAAAAAAAAAGATGGCAGTTATACACTAAAATGTCAGATGGTTTTTTAAAATGAGAATCTCTGATATATTTAATATGAAGTAYACCAGTGATACTTCATATTAAGTATATAAGTTATATTGCCTAAAAATGAAGTATATCACTTATATATTTAGTGTGACTTACTTCATATTAGATACATCAATTATATCGATGACACTACTACATTTGGTATAACATATATATTTAAAATGATATCATTAACATACTTAATATATTAATAAGAGACTTGCAATGTTATTTAAATCAAAATCTTCAATTAAAAGTAGATTTATCGATGATATAATAATATGAAGTAATCACTCATATATTTAGTGTGACTGATATACTTTATATTAAGTATATCAATTATATCGGTGATATATTTTATATTTGATTGATTAATATACCTAACATTAGTTATATAAGTGATATACTTCCTATGAGCTAGGCACATCAATTGTATCACAGTTATATACCTTAAATGAATTGAAATAGTTTATATATCAATAACAAATCTACAATGTTATTTAAACTAAAATCTTCAATCTAAATAATATTTATTAGCGATGCACTTAATATGAAGTAATCATTTTTATATACTGGACTCAAATAATAAAAAATCATTTGTATTAAGTGTGATAGATATACTTCATATTAAATATATTAGTTGTCAGTGATACACTCATGATTCTAAACATCCGTCGACACGTCGATATTTCCATTAACATGTCCATGTTTTTATAGATTCGACATCCACATGAGGGATAAATCGACATTTCTATCATATTATAAAAAAATCGACAAAATATGAAAAATATCAACAAAATACCACCAATATATACATAATATTAATATTAATTATTTTTTAACTTATTTAGAAATATGAAAATGTTTATTTGTTAATTTAAATATTTTTTACMATTCTTAAATTTCTATAACTTTTACAGAAATATCCATCGACATCGACATTTTTATATTTCCATGAAAGTGAGACCTGACATTTACCTCGACATCGATATTTAAAACTTTAGATACACTTTATTCTTAGAGACCTAATAAATAAGTTATATAATTGATATGACTGATGCACATTAAAAATACCCTCTTAAATAAGTTTAAATTTTATTCAAGGACCGTGTTGATATAATTTGTACAAATAAATATAAAAATTTGAAGTAGATATTTCAAAATTTAGAGTTCGTGTAAAATATGAGATGAACAAAGATGCTTTGCAATTTAAGCTTATAAGTTCAATGTCTTAAGTAAAAAAAAATCAATCTAATTAAACTTAATGGTTAAAGTGTTATATATCTTCTTCCAAAACTTGTAAGTTCAAAATTTTCAACTCAAGTATATTATTAGTTCTAAAAAATAAATGGTTCATCTTTTTTTTTTATTGAAGGGATAGATGTTCATTTATTTAAATAAGTTTAAATACTTTTTTTAGCCAAAATTAGTTATCGTTGTGCCCATTTTCCTTAGGATGTGTTTAGAAGTAATTTTGGCATGGTCAAGATCATGTTTGGCAAAATCATTTTAATTTTCATTATTATGTTTGACAAATTAGAAAATTAATTTTTAGAAAACTTAAAATCACTCTAAATTGATTTTAAAGTATCAATTATATGTTGATTTTGGAAAATCAATTACAGTAAAATCTTTTTTTTAAATCACTAATTTCTACCATTATTACCAAACGCACTCTACAATCACTTTAAATTGATTTTTAACACTTGAATGGTGATTTTAGAAAATCAATTATACTTAAATATCTCTTTTCAAAATCACTTTTAAATACACCCTCAGTGAGTTATAGATAATATGAAAATTTTAATTTTTAACCTAAAACCCGAATCCCTTGAAATTTTTTTTCTTCGGTATATTTCAAAGTCTCTATTTCTTTATCTATTAATGATTGATGTCATTACGTACCCAACACCAAAAGGTTTAGATAAATTAAAAGAAAAAAGGAAAGAAAATATTATCTCATCTTTTTATCTTCTTAACCATATTGGAGATCCAAAGAAAAGAGATCAATTTAATTTATTGATGTGGGTAAATTTTTTTTTTTACCAATTAAATGTGTACGACATAGTGTACGAAAATATTCAATCAAATCACGGTTAAATATCACTTTAAATTATTGGCAATTTTTTTTTTGTTTTGACATATTAATAATTGAGAACATAACTAAATATAAGGGAGACAGAATAATGAAAAAATTTCCATATAGTTATCAATTATTAATGGTGTGGCAGACAGACGCCGTACGCGGCGGCATCGGCCACGTACCCAATTCTGAGGTGGACCCATCACGGAACTGGAAATGACGTGGAATCCTATCACTGGTCCATCCTCTCCGTCGTCACCGTGCGGGAAAAAAGATGGCAAACACCAGAGTGTGGGCGACGTGTCGTCTCCTTATTGTGACGATGACGAGGAAAGTGGTGCTTTCTTCACCCCCATTACGTGGGTCCCGGCCCCACCTCCACCCACCTCTCCYCTACCGCCACCTCAACTTATCTTCTCTGAAAAAATTTCTAGTACTATAAAAATAYAGGTATTGGTTATATTCATTATCTATCATTTTATCTATGATGATAGYAGTACTTAGAATTTTTCTCGTAAACTTTCATCCGAAGTTAAAATGCAATTTCTTCCCACGAAAAAATATCATGTACTATTGAATTACTGTTTACMTGCATAATTTTTAATTAAGTACTAATGTGACAAGTAGTGAGTTAAATGATGATATGRTATTTTCATAGTAAAAAAAATTTCTCCCCTTTTCAGTCTCCACGTGGACCCAATGTCGTAGGTGCGTTCATCTTACCCTCATCAATCACCGGTCTCTTTCAATGAATGTTACTTTTTTATATTTCTTAAGGTCATAGTCTAAAAGCTTAGGTTTTGGAGGGCGTTCCAAGATCCATGTATGTAGTTTGTTTGACAGTTGAGTATTTAGTTTTAATTTGATATTTATAGTTATAAAAATCTTATGTTARTGTGAGCATGATTGCATTAATCAGTTTGAACTTTTTTTTAGATTTATCACGAATGTTATGGATAATTTTTTGTTTAATTTTGATAAGGTATCGATRTTGATATATTTTTTTCTAAATTTAGATAAAAGTAAAATCGAATCACTAACTATACAGTAAATAAAATTTCTCCTTAATTTATCCCTGAAACATGTCAGATTTTATCTATGGAAGACCAACTTGGAGTAAACAGTGGAAATGGAGATGAATTTTTTCCCCATATTTTCTCTACTCTGTCTCCCATTTTCTAGACTGTATAATTTACTAATTGATAATTGATATATAAAGTCACGTGTGATCACTAATATTTAAATAAAGAGTATATTCTCAAAAGAAAAGGCATCGAGTAAATTAAGAATTTATTTAATTAAAAGAACCCTATCAGGCACCAAGTTTTTATATGGATAGTTCAATTGATGAACAAACGTGTAATAAATTTTTGAAAATAGTACAATGAAATTAAAAAGTATTTTTTTCACTATAAATTAAACAATTACAAGAACTCAATTCATAAGAACTAAATTGGGAGTTTTAAAACTGTTGAGGGTAAATTCGAGCCGGACATGYGTCGGATTCTCAGAGTGACAATGAGGTGTGGGACCACAAACAGTTATCACCGTACACTGCGTATGTAAGYGAGTGCGTCGTTATATGATGAGAGCGATGAGGATGCTGCAGGTTGCAGGCCTCTCATTGCCAGGAGCGTACACCTCCTACGTCAGGGTCTTGTACAGCTCGGTGCACCCTTGCCACTTCAACCGTGGTCGGYCATCCGTGCTTATAAAAGAGAAAGATCTCTACCTTAACGAGGAATGTGAAAAATCTATTACTAAAATCCTAAGGTGTCTATCCTATTTTCTTTCTTCGATTATAACTTATCATCAGAGTGTATTAGGCGCAACACCACACCTACATCGAATTTTCTAATTGCATACTCATTTTGTTATTTGACGAAAGCATCCGTAGGAGGGACACTCCAAAATTCGCCTTGAACAGAAACTATAAACTTCAGACTTATGATTTACCCTTCAAATTTTATTGGTAAACATTGACACTTAAAATATATGTATAGAATAATTTTTGTCATAAAAAAAAACACCAATAATAAAGTGTGTGTGARTTATCCACCGTTAAAAATTTGATAATTGTTTTTAAAATAAAAAGTATATCCCTTTTTTTTTATTTTTTTTTTATATTACTCTAGAGTAGTCACTCCAGAAATAAATGCTCACCGGTTAATATTCTTTTGATTGATTGGGTCCAAGATACCCAAATTTGATACTGGAAAATAATCGATGACGTAAGCGACCCACTCCCCGACTCAAAAGAAATGATTTATAAGAACTGGCTTGCCCCTTCGCAAATTTAGAATTCAGCTCTCTCTCTCTTCTCTCTCTCTCTCCCTCTAAATTCTCCGGCCATGGAGCGCTGCGCAAATGGCGCCGTATCCTCGGAATTGGCTCTCTGTGCGACGTCGTCTTCGTCCCKGTCGATCGACGTGGAGGAATCCACGGCGGTGCGGATCCGGCGGCTGATAGCGGAGCATCCGGTGATCATCTTCAGCCGCACCGCCTGCAGCATGTGCCACGTCATGAAGACTCTCCTGGCCACCATCGGCGTCCATCCCACCGTCATCCAGCTCGACCACCACCACGAGATGGCCGCCGTCCCTTCCTCCTCCGCGCCGGCGCTCTTCATCGGCGGCGCCTGCTTCGGCGGCTTGGAGACCCTCGTCGCCCTCCACCTCAGCGGCCATCTCGTTCCCAAGCTCATCCAAGTCGGAGCTCTCTCGGTATTGCCCTAGCCCTAGCCCCCAATTACAATTGCAATTACAAATTTTCATCAATTTCAGATCAAATTAGGGTTTATTCATTCATAATAGGCTTACAAAGTATACTAAAAAAAATGAAACGGTTATAAATTATAACTTATAAGTTATAATATAAGATCCTGAATTTTGGGTTGCGAGTATGATTTTTTTGATACTCGCGGTGCAGGTCGGACACGTGGAGTGTTGAAAGGGGAAATCAGGATTGGTGGTCATGCAGGTGCCGGACAGAGGATGGATGCCGCTGTGGACTGTGGACTGGTGCTGGTGGGGGTAGTTTTGTAATTATTGGCTAATTCTCTCGTCGCCACTGAAGAACGTGTGGGTGTCCTCCAAAAATGAAAATCGAGCGTTTTCTTTTAAAACTTTGTATCGTGTAATAAAATAATTATTAAAAAAAAGAAAAGAAATATATGAAATTATGAAGTCTATTCTAATAATATCTTTTTAAAATAAATTACAAAAATTGTGCGAGAAAAAAATGGAATATTAGAAAACAAGGAAATCGATTCAAACATATTCGTGTGTGATAATTGACATGTACTCCYTTTCTGGAAGTCGGAGATTCGATCTCCCATATTTTCAAATTGTTGTACTAAAAAGAGAGAGAAAAAAAACCATACTTGTGTTATCAATTTTGCAAAGAAGAGAGGAAAATTTGTATGAAAAAAACTACAAATTTATAGACTATTTGAGAATATTCAAACAAAGTCATAATGAATTAAGTAAATGATATCTCTAGGGTTCATTTTAGATTAAGAAAATTATATTATACTTATACCAGTTGATTATGAATTTTAAAAACAATAATAATAGAGGATAAATTGAAAATATAAAACAAACTATAACATAAAAGAAGCTATTATTATAAAAATATAAAAATACCAAAATTTACCGAAACACCCTTTTTAAAATTCACAGCCATATTTTAAAAACTCAAAGAATAAAAGTAGCTTTTCGGAATCCATTTTATGTTTTTAAATGTTGACTAAGATTCTGGTTAAAAGAAATAATAATTAATTAATTAATTAAATAAAAGAAGATTGCTGCAAAAGACAACCTAAATATTGAAGGACCAAAGAAAAGTTCGAAAACGATGTTTAGAGGATGCACAATAAAGTAAATATAAAACCCAGTCCAAATCTTTTCAGCATAACCAGATTAATTTAATCTCTCAGTTTACACTTCTGTACAGTGAAAATTTTTGGTAAGATGATTTTGATTTTTTAAGCACAGTAAAAACTGTAACTTTACTGCTTTTCTGGTTACAAAGGAAAGGGAGAAGAATGAAGAAATGAAGAATAAAGGCTAAAGAAGCTCTGGAAAGGAAAAAAGAAGTTGACAGAAAGAAAGAAACAGGACACCAGGGAATTTTTCTTTCCATAACAGAATCTGTTCTTTTATTGTTGTTTTCTGTGGCTGATGTTGTTATTCTTTTGACATATAACAAAAAAAATTGATGTTYGAGTGATGGCCTCRAGAGCGAACGAGGCGAATGAATGGTTTAGAACATTTTACAGTAACGATATCGAGCTCGAGATCGAGATCAAGCTCATTTCTGCACTCACTCTCTACGAATTTTTCTGGTTGCAGTTTTTTGTTTTCCAGTTCATGCTAATTTCTAAYGTCTACAAAGTTGTCATCAATGTCAAACAAACAGTTTTCTTCTACAATCCACCCCATTTCATGAACTTCTTCACCTCGTCGTACAAAACTAGTATCGCAGCTGCACCAGTACTCCTAAACATGTTCGAAACCGCCCCTCGGTAGAAAGAGCTAACCCCCTCCATCCTATAAATCTTCTTCCAGCACTCCAGGGTGCTAGTGTACATTGGCTTATCTAACCCAGATTGCATCATCATCCGTCTCCTAACCGTATCGAATGGATATGACAACAACCCGGCTGAGGTCGTGACCACTTGAGCCACTCCCCAGCGCTTCCATAGCRCCAACTCTGATTTAGACTGTGCTGCCAAAATCTCTTTCATTGTGTCAAAACCACCGAAATAAAGACCTCGGTGCACGACCATTCCTTGTAGCGAGGCTGGAAGGCCCCTGTAAATCCCTCGAATACCATCCTTTTCGCGTATGGTAGCAAGGAAATGATAGATACCTCGAAACTGACGGACATCAGTTCTTCCAATGTCAGCAGCAAGACGAGTGTGAGCGATATCGAGAGGGTATATCAAAATCAGTGTTGAACAACCAGCAGCAGCCCCAGCAATAAAATTGGACGGTGGACCAGAAAGAAAATGTCCATCTCCGAAGCCATTCCTCAACAAGTCTCTATACAAATCCTGTACACGGAAAACAATGTTCAGACACCATAAACTCACTCCAAGAATTGACAAAAAGAGCCACAGCCAAGGTGTACTTGATATTTTAGATACAGGGTGGATCGATATCAACCAAAGAAAACTAAAATGAAAAAAATGAATGTCGAATGAGCGAAATACAAATAAGAAAGGCTTCTTACACAAAAATACAGAAGGCCAACGAAAAACGCTTGTACTATAAAATAGATAATGAACGTACAAGAGATGTCAGTTTTAGAAGTGGAATGCAGAAGAACACCTCAATCACAATCTTTATATATTCGCTCGTTTTGCCACACCGCACAATTTATATCAAAGCAGGTTACAGCTAAAACTTCAAGATATGTCTCAGTTAAATAACAATGAAAGAAGTATATGCCTATTCTCTTCTCCATTTCTACCTCATTTTCTCTCTTCAAACACTGATAACTTATGGCATAGAACAAGCACATTAATGCACTATCATCAGCCTCCTGATTTTCCATCTCCTATCATCATCAGAACTCGGGGAGAAACCGGACATGACTACAATTCGATAATTCATTAACATTTGTCTTTGCTATCCTCAAAGTTTCTCTAGTTCATAACTTCTAGTTTGTACTGATTCATTATTCCCACTTCAGCCATGAAAATTGCAGCATCCCCTCAACTAAAAGTAGGTTTTGTTTTTGGCTCAACACATAACCGTTGGCATCAGGCTTCTTGTTAATCTTATCAGCAAAGAAAAAAGAAAAGGGCAGGCCAGCCATTAAATAATCCCACTCTTTGAAGACTTTTTGCATATAAAACTCTTTCAAAAAGAAAAGGACAAAGCAAAGCAAGTTTGATGACAAAAGAAAAGATGGTTTGCCAATGAACCAATTAGTTCCCCTTCACATTTGCCAAGCAATCAAGAGAGATCCTTCAGGTAATCTAAAGAAATCAGAAAACTAGAACAGAAAACTACATGGTTTCAAAGGAAGAACACAATCAGCGAATGAACAGAATATTTTCAAGAGAAACAAGATGAACCAAGAAACTCCATTCCTAAAATATTTTCAGAACAAGAATTTGGTAATGGTAGTACCTTGAGAGAAAAATTTAGGGCAACTGAGGGATAATAACGAATAACACTGCTTCCATTGCCTCTCCACAGCGAAAGAATGCCTTCTTCCCTAACCGTGCGAAAGATACAATCAAACATACCCTTGAATCTTCTTCGCCCAACTCCAACAATGGCCAGATTGCTCTCTTGGGTCTGTAACAGAAGCTTCGCCCTCTCAATTGGGGCAACGATTGTGTGTACGAGGCCGCCCATGACGGCTCCCGCCAACAAATCACGATGGAAATTCGTCAGCCATTGGTGTGCTCGCGGCGATATCGGGATTGATCTTGAATCCCCAATTTCATGATCATCAGCATCTTCTATACGCATTCCTCAAAACCCACGATCTTTACGAACCCAGGAAGAAAGATTGTCCACTTTATGGCTTCTTYCTGATATTTGATACCAAAGGAACAAAGAGAAGTGGAAAAAGAAAAAGCTACCCAGTAAGAGAACTCAATTCGTTGGTCAATCTTTCGTTTATTCTCAAATCTTGGAACTTCAAAGAGATTTTTCCCTCGTTTTCTTGCAGGCCCCTTCGGTTTGGCAGAACTAGAAGAAGAAGAACAACAAGAAGAACTACGATTCCCGAAAAAGGGTATTTAAAATGAAGGCTGAACTTTGATGAGGGGATGGTCAGTCGAAGCAACGGCCCTGATTGGTTCCGATCAGGTTGAGGGTGGACGCAAAAAGGGCTGATTTTGATCGTCCTTATCATAACGATTATCATCGTATTCATCTCTACGTAATTCTTTTCTCAAACCCATCAGTTTTCCTCTCAAAAATCAAAATAAATACACCAAATCCAAATCATCTCTTCGGGTACAATTAGACGCCTTCATAAATAACGTGTTTTGTTTGCAAAACAAATGGATAATGTGGCTGACTACATTTTGCCTTTTCTTTGTATTTAAGAAAAGAAAAACTAAATACAATTTCATAAAAATATAAACTTTGATTTTAAGATTAGGACCATTTCATATATTAGCCTAAAAAGTTTATAAAAATATAAACTTCGATGAAGTTTGATGTTTTTTTAGTACAATAAATGTGAGGGAAGGTGGCGGAAGACTTGATGAAGTTTGATGTTTTTTTTAGTACGATAAATGTGAGGGAAGGTGGCGGAAGACTTAATTTTCGAAGAAGGTAATTGATGTCTTATCTACTAAAATTTTATTTCAAAACTTAAGTTTCGGTTATGTTGTAATTTTATACCGTTGAATACAGTATAACCAATAAATAGCAAAAGAAAATGGATACTTGAAGGAAAAATAAAATGGCAATTGAACCCTACTCTCAAATAAGCAAAATAATAAGAGTGAATTTTTCAGATACAAAAGATTACAACAAACTCATTTATTTTGCAAACAAGAAACTAACAAAAGCAATGAAATTTGAGGCATAGAGCTTCTTCTTCAGGGCTGGTTCTCATTGATTTGAGCCTTTGACATGTTCCAAACATTCAAACTGGAAATCACTACACTTTGAGTTCCATTGTTGAATGCATATAAACGGGCGTCTTTATCGACAGCCAAAGTTGGATATACTCGGGAAGTGATGCAAGTTTTTCCTTCCCCTGCAAAGCTCTCGACAACGGAATGGTCTACCTGCAAAGTTTGGGGCCAAAAGATCAACAAAAGAAAGAGCAAACTCGATGGACAAAACGAATAGCATGAACTAATCGCCAATCGGTAGTACCAGCGTTCTCAATGATATCTTTTCGTGGCGTGGATCTATGTCTACGAATGACCCATAAGTGGTTTTATCTACCCTGTTTCTGAAAGACGACCTGTCGGTTCGAAAACAAGGAATTCAATTGAGTTAATGATGCGAAAAACACCTTCGAAATGCTTGAAAATAGAAAGTTTGTGGCATGGATTTGACCTGCTTTGATCACTGCACATCAGCACTACATATCTTTTATGAGCTTTGAGAATATGAAAGAATACTGCAGTTTGTTCAGACAAGTCATTGGAGGCCAAAACCAACAAACCAAAGGGCCCAACTCTCCCGTTAACTGATGCATTTCTTTCACTACACAGCAATTGGGGATCAACCCATCTTGTGTCCATTCTCTCGGCCTCCTCTAAGTACGGAAATTCAAACGAAACCTCTGCATCGACCTTGAAACCAATTGATCATAAAGTCAAAGTCTATAAAATCTCAATAATACACAGTAGTTGCACCTGCGCATAATCTCACCTGTGAGGCCGAGCCACCAGGAACTTTCATTGTTGATCTTCCTATAAGTTCTTTATGATTCAAGCTAAAATGGTTTCTGCGTAAAGCCTTAATTTCCTCAACTGGCCACTGTATCAACTGCCTTCCAGTTTTAGATAGCCAAATCTTCCGAGGAACCGCCTGCATTTTGAAGTTTYAAGTAATAAGATTTTAGTTTAAATTCTAGTGTTGTGTCTAAAAAGCCTATGAACATTTGACTGTCGGATCTAGCACAAATTTGAAAGTTGAGAGACAGACAAAAACTTGAAAATTTTGGGACAATTTTATAGTTTAACCAACAAGATTCAATCTAATTCATCCAGTTCATTCTTCAGTGTGAAAAGTCCCCACTTCCATAATCTCAAAACATGAAAATGGATCATAAGGTTTAAGTTTTACCTGCAGTCCAGACCATCCCTTCTTGATATCATCTTCTCTGCTATCAGATTCATTAACCCAACCCCACAAAATCCTCCTCTTCTGGGAGCTGTCATAGAATGTCTTGGAAGCATAAAACTTCCCATAATCATATCTCAACCCTAAGTTGGTTCCTCTAAAGCCAAAATCAGAACCAGAATCAGGAGTGAACTTCTCTTCCTCAGGGGCATAACTTCCCAATGTATAATAATCATGAGAGTTAAAGCTAGCCTTCATCACATGCTTAACACCAATCCCAAACCCACTTGAAAAATCAACCCCATTCGTTCCATTAAGCAGCACAGGGAAAAAATCAGGGCACTCCCAAGTTCCAGAATCTGGAGAAGAATAAAGAGGAAACCTGAGCAGATTCCAACGAATGAAGTCCTCGCTTCTGTAAAGCATCGCCGCTCCTCCTCCATCGCTCGTCTGGCCTCCAATGGCGACCCTCCACCCTCCATCTGGGCCACGCCAAGCCGTTGTTGGGTCTCTGAATCTATCTCCCAGGACGTGATCGGGCGGAGAAATGATGGGATTATTGGGGAATTTAGTCCACTTTTCGAGAAAGGGGTCTGAGAAATTGGCGGGGATTGCTAGGTTCTGAACCTGGTTGAAACTGGAATCAATTCCAGTGTAGAGAATTACGGGCTTGTTGCCGGGGAGGAAGGAGGCAGAGCCAGACCAGCAACCGTTGATATCGAAGGGATGGGTGGGCTCTAGAGCAGGATTGAGATGAACCCAATTGATTAAATCGAGTGAAATTGAATGAGCCCACACCATTTTTTGATTGAAGACTGCTCCATTTGGGTTGTACTGATGAAACAGGTGGTACACTCCCTTGTAGTACATTGGCCCTTTGAACAAGAACAAGAATAGAAACAAAAATACCATTTTCAGCAAATAATTTGGGGAATTTGTSTAGTTGGTTTCAAGATTTCAACTCCTTTATCAAGTGACATTCCAAAGATCTCGACTACGGGCGCTGATGTGAGCATAGTTCAAATAATTAGACATTAGTATTTTTCAATATAAGTTGTAGGTTCGAATCTTCTCTCTTCCGTTCATTTATAATATAYTAAATTGTAAAAAATATCTATGAACTTTGCCATTTATTTCAAAAATACTTTATGGCTTCAAAAGTTTCAAAAATAATCTTTTAGCTAGCAAACATCTGCTAATATTTTAAATACAAAATCTAAACGACGTGACAACTAACGTCTCAGTTTTGTCCTAAAAAGTCTTATTGTTTGTTCATCTATTGTCTACCCAATAACTTCTTTCACATTTCATCAACATGAACTTAGCTCACTGGTTAAGAGACCTAATTCCTTCCTCTCTCAAGGTCGGAGGCTTGATCCCCCATCCTCACAATTGTTGTACTAAAAAAACATTCTTTCACATTTTATCAACGGATGCTTGCTCAAATGATGTTTTTTTGAAACCTTTATGAAAGRTCAAGGATACTATTAAAACTTTTGAAAGAATAGGAATATTTTTTAAACAAAGGATAAAGTTCAAATCATTACTTTAAAGACTTCTAGAAAGCTCGGTTGTGAGTTGTTTACCATTTGGATCTGCACGAGACAATACACATCGATGGTTTAGTGATCAAAATGGTAAATTTTGAGCCAAAGGAAAACAAAATAAAGGGTTAGATGATGATATGAAATGGAAATTGAAAAACAAAGAAATAGGAAAATTTTGTGTTACCATTCATCCAATTTTTTGGGGGTTGAAAGTGGTAAGATGTCCTTAGAGCTTGTTGTGGAATATGAAGTTCATTGGTTTGGCCATGAGAGACCACAAATCCAATTCCATTGCTTAGGAGAAAAACAAGGCATAAACCAACAAAGTCAAATTTGCCCATTTTCAACCATTTTGTTGGCATTTCATGAAATCAAAGAGAATGACCAAATATTTTTTCAAATGTATTGAATCCAAACATCCATTAGTTATGTATATATATATATAACTTCAATTTATCATAAGTTAGGTCCATTTTAATGTGGTTTAATTCTTAATATTTTTTGTTTCTTTAAATTAAGCTTTTTTTTTTTTTTACTTCTTAAAAAAACTAAAGCAAATCATGGACCTACATTTTTTAGTATTTAAATTTTAAAAATATTTTTTATAAYCAGATAACAAACCAATAAAATGAGTAGTAAACCAAGCATGAATTATAGAAAATAAAAGAGAGTTGCCAAATTTTTTAAAAAAGAAATAGAATATGGTTTTTACTTATATAATTTTATATTTTATTAAAATAAAGTTTGCAATCATAGATAGGTTGAACTATATTTAAGTTGATTTTAATTTGTGTAACTCGCTCTAACTCTGGTGTTTGTATTACTATTTTTTAAAATTCGTTTCACAAAAGATTTATTTATTTTTTTAAATTTCTTTAGTTGGAAAAGAAAAATATAATAAATTAAGTTTTTAACTTATTTAAAATCTATTGGAAGTATATGGGACAAAGCAAGATGCTAAGTTAGTTACTTTGATGTGAAAAGCAATGCAATTAAACAAAGTGTTTTTGCCAAACTAATGCATATATAGAAGAGGCAAAATTGTTCACAACACCTCACCCAACTTATGTGAATTGTCATAAAAATATCATCAAAGTGACTCTTTTGTAACAAAAATCTCAAAATAATTTCACATCACTTTAAAAACCTTTTTTAACACAAACATTAATATGAAAATTCAAAACAATAAATAATGAATCGGGAAATTCAACTTGACTAGTTATATGATCTTAACCATTTGTGATAAGACAAAAGGAAAGTTGATCCTGACAAAGTCTTAGTCCAACATATATAAATAAAAAGGTGAAGATATAGTTTAGATTATATGGTTGGATGAGTGACATATCAACTAAGACGTCTCGCAATAACTATGGGAAAGTGATGATTTTTGTAATTATCACGAGACAGAGATAATTGTTAGGTTGAAGCCCCAATAGCACGAGCCAAACACAAACCAAATTAGTGTTATTTGTTTATCGTCACATGTAAATCCATTACAGCCTAACTAACACGTGTCAGATATAGATACATTGCTTTAGACATGTGTCCGATGCACAAAATAACATGTCTTTTAAAAAAAAAAAAAATTGGTGTGTAGTCGTATCCATACTTCATGAGTTGTGATTAAGGTAACTCTATTTCTCTAAAAGGATCATAAATTGGAATTTCACTCAATTTTCGTGACGTAAATGTAATAAGTAATAGTTTGACTAGCCAATAAGCACGTGATACTATAGTATAATTTGACTAGAAATGGTTTGTTAATCAAAATTAATTACTTTTCTTTTTCTAAATTCAAACTTTGAAGTTGGTAAGATAATCAAAACTACAATAAAATCTTCATATCATTCATCCAATTTTTAAAAATTTGATTCACATTATTTTTAAAAGATATATTACAATTCAAACGGAAGATTACTATAATGCCTGTGATAGTTAACTTCAAGATTTAAAATCGTATATCAAATGATTTAAAAAAAAAAAAAGAAAAATCGTTACTCAAATAGAATTCATAAAATTATTTCCACAAGGAAAATTCATACAATCAAAATTAACCTAATATACTCTCCATTCTAATTTTTGAAATTCAAAAAGAAAAAACCAAATAATAATAAAATTAATTCATTAGAACCTGTAAGTAAAGCTTTTAAAATATATAATTGGTGATCCAAATCTAAAATTTTGAAAAGAGTAGTTTTTATTTTAAAATTTAACAGATATTGTTTGGAAAAGCATAATTTTAATTTTAATTAATTTGATTTGATTTTGATTTTGAATATGGAAAATATTTGTATCCCTAATAATTAGCGAAAACTCACCACTAAGGAGCGTCAGTTACGTCTTTTTCTCTGCACATCGTCTTCCTCCTCTCTCTTTGCGCCGACTTTTCATCTTTTCTACAGAGATTCGTACGGTGGATACGCCCAATTTGGCGCTCCAATGAAGAATATCGCTGAAAACTGCGGCCAAATCGCGGAAGACGGATGGCCAATCCAACACAGTCCGACGGAGACGGCGGCGGCGGCGGCGGCGGCGCAAGCGTGCGCGGCGTGTAAATTTCAGCGAAGAAAATGCTCGCCGGATTGTCCTCTGGCTCCGTATTTTCCGGCAGATCGTCCTAAAAATTTTCAGAACGTCCGCAGATTGTTCGGCGTAAAGAACGTCCTCAAAACCCTACGCGATGTCGAGCCTTCGAACAGAGCCGCGGCGGCCGAGTGCATGATTTTCGAGGCCAATTGTCGCGCCGACGATCTCGCCGGTGGATGCTACAAGATAATCGCCGAATTGCAGAGCGAAATCACGTTTTTGGAGGCTCAGCAAAACCTCGTGCTTCGTCAGCTCTGCATTTTCCGAGAGACGGCAGCGGTGGCGATGGATCCGATGAGTAGTTCGTACGGCGGCGCGGTTCATCCGCAATTGATCCACGGATTCAATTTCGACAGTAAGCCGTGCTTTTCTTCCCTCCTGCTCGATTGCGGTGGGACGACGACGATCGATTTGGGGAACTGTGAGGATCGGTTTCGAAAAGAATTCTGCAATTTGAAGGGAGGTGGGCGGCGGATTAAGGAGGAGAATGGAGCTTCTTTATCATGCCGATCACGGTAAGTAATTGGAAAATTGGTTCAATGTAGTTTCGATTCAGATTATAATTTTAGGTCTTGAAGAAGAAAATTAGAAAAATAGTTGAAGATCATTAGAATTATGTAACATGGTGCTGTTTGGGGAAGATTGCCCTAAAAAACAGATTAATTACAAATTAATTTAGGTTAACTTTATTTACTTTTGATATTTTGGATTTGTACATATTTGGTTCTTTTGCCTTTAGTATATTAACTTAGATGTGTCATTGCTTTTTATTTTTAAATTAGAACTAATTCAAGTGAGACATTGGAAATTCAATGTTGCCATTTTTTTTTTTTTTGGCCGATCTGAATATAATTAAATGGATCCTTCATTAAAAAAAATCAGCGCTTTAATCTCCATCCTGTCGAAATTTCATGTTTCTATCTAAATAAGGGTATAACACATTAATAAACAAAATACGACATATTGAAAATTCTCGAAAGATTGTAGATATTGAAAAATGGGCTAAAAAATTAAATCCAATTTTATGATCATTTAAAAATATTCAATATGCCGTCCAAACAATTTTGTTTTAATAAATTCTCCCAATAATATTTTTTTTAAGTATAAAAATGGAGGTGGGAGAATTAAACTTTCTACAGATAATTGACTCACAAATTAGAGGTGTGAGTTCGGGAAGTTATGAATGGAGAGAAAAATTTAAATTAGGTTCAAAGAATTATAAAATTTTGAATTAGAAGAAACATCTATAACTATAACATATAATACGTTAAAAAGATACAGTTTTGAAAAAAAAAAACACACATTTTTCTTTATCGTTCATGTCCTTTTATCAAATTTTAAATTTACTAACAATGCCATTTTTGGTTTTTAATAATTTTAATTTATAAGGAAATGTAAAAGTTATGATATTGGCTAATATATTTCTAACAATTTATTATTTTACATTTAATTGTAATTAATAATAGAATTCAAAAGTTATTAGAATCTTTCTATTCCTATGAACATTTAGTTTACTCTTTTTGTCTCTTGACTTTTTAAAATAATTTTATATATTTAATAGTGTCATATCACACAATACAATGGCCTAACATATTGAGTATCTCGAGTGATGTCAAGAAAATTCTTTTATCAATCTGGTTATAAATTTTTTAAAAATATCATCAATAACTAATTAATAATATATTTAATTTAAGTTCTAAAATATATTTATCATGTTATTATAAATTGATTATGACTCATTGAAATTAATAAAATGAGTTCAAAATAGAATCAAAATGAAGGTTAGAAAAGTAGTCTAAAATGAGATTAGTTTCTAATATAATAATGTATTCTATTTATTAATTAAATATACAACTAAATATCATATGATAATGAATAATGTATTCTATTTTTTTAATTAATAAGTTTATCATGCTAAAAATTAAACTAAAAATTCAATAAGATTTTTATTAAGTAACATATAATTGTTGGAAAATTAGCTTTAAAGGCACCGTTGAGTTGATAAAAGTATAGAATTTAAAAAGTTTGAATATACAAATTTTTGTTATTTCCTTATTTAAAATATTTTTATCCTTAATTATAATTAATTATAGAATTTTATAATTAAATTTGAATTTAAATTTTTTTATAACTTTCCCACTTTCTAAAACTATAAACTGAGTACTAAAAAAAAGCCTGGAGTTTTCTACCACCATTATTTTACCAACAAATTTGATTTCCATATTCATCTTAATTATTTGTTTTTTTACTATTCTGTTTCAATAAATAGTTGTAGTTTTTAATATTTTATTGACGTCAGTACAAAAATAAATGAAAAAAAATAGTAAGCACAATTATTTAATAATAAACAAAGAATGTAAACGAAAGGTACACGGTCAGCACACTTTCCAACGAGCTTCATTTCCGATATGTCGACCTGTCATTCAAAATTTCAAATACCTGTCGGATGCGCAGTCAGCTGTCGTTCAGCGCCCATTTGTCCCACATCGATAAGTTTTCATCCCATTTTATGCTTTATAGATACAAGCCCATCCCTCCATAAACGTCCCTTCGGGGACATCCGATAAAATTGGAACGATACAGAGAAGATTAGCATGGCCCCTGCGCAAGGATGACACGCACAAATCGAGAAATGGTCCAAATTTTTTTCCCTATTTTACCCCTGCAATCCAACTTTGTATTTACGAACATGTCCCTCGATTCCAACGTGTGTCTTACAATTATACCCCTCCTCAGTTGCTTACATTCAGAAGTTCGGCAGGCCACCAACGAAGGGACAAGAAGGTAAAAACGTTATTGTGATTGGCAACTTTCTTTTTAGCTATCTAATTTATTGATTTATATACCCTTAGATAAACAAATGAGACTAAAAAATCCATGTTTAATGAGATAATATTAAGTGACTGTCTCAACTAAATAAAGAAAACTGGCAATAATTTGGAATTAATTATGATAATTGTGTATATTTTTAGAAAGTTTGAGAGTCTGGAAGTTTTTTAAACTAGTCTACATAAATTATGTTACATGAGGAATAAATATGTAAATGACGAGTAGATAGAAATAGAATCTGCAAGATTTTAATTTTATATATTTCTGCAATATCCAAACGTTTAGATTTTTAAAAAATTCCTTCCGATTTTCATCTTTTATTTTTTTTTTCTAAAGAAGTCATAAAAATTTTAATTATTTTTGACCCGATTGGTAATTTCTTGTTTGTTTCTTTTTCTTTTTACTAAAAAGAAATTGAATTACGTGGTCCCAACGTCCAAGATAGAAGAATGTTAAAATAAATTGCAAATGTTTTTAATGTTTCCAAAATTTTTATACAATTTTGGTAATGTTTTAACAAAATGTAAATAATTGTCAAATACTTAATTTTTTTTAATAAAATTGAAAAAGAGAAATGAAAACGGAAATATCATTACAATCATAACGTAGCAATTAAGGTATCTTATTCTTTTGTCTAATGATTAGAATTTTAATTACTTATCATTTTTGTCTTCTACTTTAATTATGTTATTGAATTTCTTATTAGTTCTCCTACTACCTTCTTTGCCGGCCTTTCTGTCAGGTATAGATTATACACAATATGTCATACTGATTATCTTATAATTGTTTTTTTAAGTACAAAAATATCTTATAATTTGTCAAAGAAAAATCTATTCATAATTAATATAGATGATTACATTGACTAAACTAATAATTAAACAACAAGATAAAGCAAAATGTATATAATAATACGGTTGGAAAAGGCATAAAAAATCACAACTTCTAACGAAACTTACATCCTCCCGTTGATTTTATGAGCCCGAAATTTAAGTCTCTACAAATCCTCCACGTCATAAAGCCATCAATATTAATTATATTCACTCCCTAAATATTCAACTGTTTAAAATTATTAACCAATCTCTCGTCTAATAAGCCTATGAATTTTTAAAATATTGATTAGATTAAAAATCTATGAGTTACAAAGATTTATAGGTTTATTAGACACAAAATTGAAAGATCAATCAATGATCTGTTAGACATTTTTTAAAGTTCCTATTAGACAGAAAAATTAAAAATTCAATAATACGGATTAGTATAGCATGAATTTCAACAAAATAATTAAGCTGGGTTCTGTGTATAAATTTTTTAACTTTAAAAATGTCTAATAAGTTTTTTAGCTTTAATTTTGAGTCTAATAATCTCTAACAAATTCTATATTTTTTAAAATTCATGGACCTAATAGACATAAAATTGAAAGTTTAATTAAAGAGTTTGAAGATAATTTTTGAAGTTCAAAAAACTAAATTTGTTAGGAGTGGTCATTGGTCAGTCGGAGTCGGTTTTAGGCCCCAACCGATGCCGACCATCGACTATACCTACAGTCGATCGATTTTGAGATGGAGGAGTGGGGACGAGAAACAGAAAGAACAACAGAGGCCGAGGGAGAGAAAAAGGGAAGATAAAGAGGAAGACAGATGGAAAAAGAAAGAAAGAAAAAAAGGGGAGAAGCACCAACGGCCACCATGGTTTCATGTTCTCAATTTCTTATATATCTTTTCATCTCTTTCTAAATTGACTTTCCCATAAGAAAGAAAGTGAGATGGGGAAATGAAAACTGTGAGAATAAAAGAAAGGAGAGGGTTGAGAGGGGCAAGAAACTGTTGAAAAATTTAAAAATTAGAGAGATGCTGGTTTTTTCAGGCAGACTGCAGCGCATCTAATGATATTATTTTATATTTTATCTTTTATTTTGTATATTATGTTTAACATTTTAGGTGGATTATGATCCGAAATAACATATCCAACCAAATCCACCGACAATAAGTTTTGCTCACCTCTAAAACTTGTAATTTAATTATTAAGGTATGGTTTGAAAATTTGAGATTTTGTTATTATCTGCACAATGAAATAATAGTGTTGAAATAAATAATTATTGGATGATTTTAAATTTCAAATTAAAAAAAATCATGATAATTTTATTTAAATCTAAATTTAAAATTTAAGATTTGTCTAATCTTTAATTTTGGATTTTGATTTGAATCAAAATCTTAAAATTATATTTGGAGATGGGATTTGATTCGCATTCAAATTCTGGATCTTGATATGAATCTAAATCATTTATCTATAAATTGGGATGAGGGGGTAATTAGAGGGAAAAAAAAATTATTCGTAACAAAAATTTGTTCAAAATTATACCTATTTATAATTAGGTTTATCATAGAGGTTTAAGAATATAACAAATTAATTTTTCATTGATATTTTTTTTAAATCCATAAAATTATTAGATATAAAATTGAAAGTTTAAGAATTTAATAGATACTAAGTTTATGAACCAAATTTATAACTTAATTTTAAGTTTTTTATTAAGATAATAGTAGTGTTGAATTCACCGTCAAAAAAATTAGTAGTGTTGAATTGATAATAGTTTTTTTACTAAAAATAATTATAACAATAATTATGTTTTAGTTATGTTAAAAGGGTTTTAACAACATTATGGTGTCATTTGGACTTCATCCATCCCACGTGACTACATCAGACATTTTTTCTCAAATAAATAAAAGCATGAATTTTTAATTAAAAATTTTGGTTAATTTTAATTTAATTTAATTTTATGCATCTTTATGGCAATTAATCAAAATATGTATAGCATGGGATTGGATAGTCTCCGTTTGAGTTGTGGAATTCATTTTCCTAAATCCTTTTATGAACTATTAAACTCTTCTACAATATTCTACTTCACTTTGAATTTGTTATTTTATAACTTTTATATTCTGTATCTTCAATTTTTTTCTTATATTCACCCATTCCATTTATTCTAGACTCAATCAACCCTTCACAATAAATTGGAACAAAATTTCAAATTATTTAGTTACAAAATATTTTGATATTAACTTGAGACAAAATACATGCTCTAGATTATATGTCATCTATATATGATGTTTTAATATGACTAAGTCTAAAATAAAAATCATACACGTACTTTTATTAATTAATTTGAAAATGAAATAATTTTTTTTCCTTTAGTTCATTTTAGCTTTCTACTCTGAAAATATTCATTTTAGTTCCTATAGTGATCATTTACTTTACTTTACACTAAAAAATGAAAATTTTAGTCACTTTTTACAAAAATTTATTACATATTTTACAGATATTGGAAACTYTTTAGTGTAAACCTTTCAAGTGTCGTATTGAAATTGTGATAGAAAAAAAAAAGATTAAATGAAATGTAAGGACGTAGGGATCCATGTGTAAACATAGTATCTATTTAAATACGCTCGGATGACCCCTTCTCATATGTATATAACCTAGCCCTATTCCGGATGAACGATCCAAAATGGTCACCTTTAAAAAGACAGGGAGCAAAATGAATATTTTGAAAGTAGAGCGATTAAAATAAACAACAATCAAGGTAGAAACACCAAACTAATGTTTTAACCATATAGAAAATTTAAAATTAAGTATTAATTAATTTCATAAGTTAGAAAATATAATATCATTTACTCTCTATGCATTTATTGGGTGAGTTATGATTTAATAAACACGTAAGTTTTTTACTTTTTTGTACAAAAATACATATTTTACCAAATGGTATGGTAAGAGGTGAACGTGAGAGTGAGTGCCGATTTGATTTCAAAGGGGAAGGGGAAGGGGAAGGGGAAGGGGAAGGGCATAGAAGGAATAAGGAAAAAGAATGCAAAAGAAGGGGGATGGAGAGTGTCGACACTATAAGGCTCATTGTTAAGCAAAAAGTCATAAGTGTTGTTCATTCCTCTGCGTGTGCCCTCCATTTTCCCCAATTATGTCGACACTCTTCTCTTCTCTAATTCCCGTTCCCCCATTCTTCATTCTTCCTCTTCCTCTTCCCCTCTCTCTCTTTCTTCCTTTACCTCTCTATAAACGCCCTTCCCCGCATCCTCCACCGCCGCATCGCCTGAGATTCCCTTTCAGGCGATTCCGCTCTCATGTTCTTCTTTCAGGTATCTCTTCTTCTTTCTTCGTTTTCGTTTTCTTTCTCGGGATTTCCATTTTGTTTCCCTCATGGGGTTTTTTCTTTTTCAGGATTTCTTCCAGATGCTCTGTCTTCAGCGTCTCCGTGATCAAACGCGTCTTCTCTCCCGTAACTTCCTTTTACCTATTTCTTAATTGGTGTATTTGTCTTGCTTTGATTTCTAGGTTTTACTGATTATTTGGTTAATGAATGAACGAGTGAATGAATGTTTCTTTGGTTTTTCGATTTGCGATCAAACAGAGTCCCTTCTGCGGACCATATCCGAATCAATGGGGAACTCGTCCTGCGGCGTTTCCGAGTTGGAGCTCTGTCGAGAC